GGGGGGGCATGTGCCTCCCCACCTATGCAGGGGAGGAGACCCTGCTTGATTAGAGATTCCCTGTACTTACGATCTTTGTGGCCCCGGGGAGATGGTGCCAGGTCTTAAATATGAAATGATTGTATTGGAAGCTCAAAATTACTGCATTTGCTGGGAAAAAAAACCTATCATACACTGAAACAGCATGCAAATACGTCTTCTTCTGTACTTTATATTGATCACTGTAAGTCACCAGTCCGCAAGCGAGAACCAGGTGGTGGAAGTGGAAGCATTTATTTGTTTCAAGAGGCCAGTCATTAGGAGGTGCTGACAGCCAGCCCAAAACCAGATTAAGATTCTCTGAGTGACTTGGGTTTTGCATTTGCTGCATCAGTGACCTGCCTCAAAAGTCATCATGCGTTTTAAACACTTTTACTATTATTGACCCTGCTTGTACGAGGATTGGAACGATCTTAGACACCATGGCTGTCGTACCCCCGCAAGGTTGGGGGCCCGGACACACGAGCACGCAGCACCCCAGCTCCGGGCCCAGCCCTGCGCCCTAGTGCGCCTGCGCCGCTGCCCGGAGCTGGCGCGGGGACCCTTGAGCGCCAGCCGGCGCTGCCGCATCCCCCACCCGGGCCACACGACCGTGGCACCTTTAGTCAGTCAGCGGGGGCTCAGGCCTCCGCTTAGTGCTTGTGACCGAGGCACCGAGTAAAGGCTTCTTGTTCCCGGCACATCCCGGGGCGGGGGGTGCTCCACGGGCACGGGCCGGCCCCGGGCAGGGCCCGCGTTGCGCGCCCGCCTGAGGCAAGGGCGGCCCGGCCCCTCCAGCCGCTGCAGCCAGCGCTGTCCCGGGGGTGCGCGCGGGGCGGCGAGAGGGGGCGGCAGGAAGAGAAGAAGCAGCGGCGCTGCCCCAGCCCCATCCCCCGCCCCGCACATTCCTGCTCCCTGAGGTCACGGGCTGCGGACTAGTAGCCGGCGGTTCCGCGTATCCTTCCGCACGGCCGGGAAACGCCTCCAGGCCACAACACTACCCGCGCACAGCGCCTCCGGCTCCAGCGCCAGCGTTACTTTGCCGGGCCGGTCCTGACTCCCCGCCCAGCGCCGTGACCCGCGGCGGGGCTGTCTTCAGTAGGGGCGGGCGGGCGGCAGCTGTCCCGGCACAATCGGGCCGTGCGCCCCGGGCTGGGCAAGGCGCCTGCGTGTCTCCGGATCGCGGCGGCAGGTAACGGGGCCGGGGCAGGCGCCGCGGGGGACAGCGGGGCTCCTCCTCCCTGTTTTGTTTCTTCCTTCCCCGGCTGGTGAGGTGGCTAGAAGCAGCCTTGGGGACGGAGGTGCCAGGGGAAGTTCGTGATAGTTTGCTGGTGCGCTTTGCAGAGCTGTGCCAGGGGTGGCCTGAGATGGGGAAGAAAGTGCCCCCCTCCGCCCCCCCCCCCGTTAGGCTGCTCCGTATAACCGCAAAATAATGGTGTGAACTGCAGGTGTTAGCCATTCTGGGCACCTTTTTTCTCTGCCCTTCATTGCACTTTTATGAGGCAGACTCATCCCTGCAGCTTCACCTGTTTTAAGTCAAATATGAGGCAATTCTCAGAGAGGAGCTAGGAGTTGTAGAGAAAGAGGAGCTACCTATGACAATCCTTGGGACTCCTGTTTGGCTTGTGAATATTGAAAACGATATATATGCATTCAGATATAGATGTGTAAAATCAGACAAAAAATGTTTATAATTCCCAGATAGATACTAGGCCTTCTTAATAAAGGGAACATTCACAAGAAGTCTAAAGAGCAGCCAGACTTTTGCATTTCCAACTTCTGGCACTATAGCACGAGGCTCTTTTGTCCCGAAGTAGCAGTATGTTGAAATAATGTGTGAGACAAATATGATACCAGCTGGTCCTTGGAAATGACAGCTGCTAAATAAAAACAATATTGTACTGTTTGCAAGAACTGTGCTTGGCCAGCAGTAGAAGTTGTCAAATGACTTGTGACCAGTATTCCTCCTCCGTTCCCTTTCTTGTGCAATGCTAGTGTATTTTGTTATTTATCAGGGGCTACCTCTGATGTAGTACATAAGAGGCACTGGGATCTATGCTCAGTACAGGTATTTGAACTTATTGTACCTTTCTGGCAATGTTTTTAAATGAAGTAAGTGTATTTTAGAAACAAGAAAATGCTACCAAAATGTCTAATTATTGAAGTGAAAATTGGGGGATTTTTTAAGAAAAATGTTCAGAGAATACAATATGACCTTTAAAAATTCCTTCTTTGGATAAGAGAACATTTAGTCTGATTTAAAATTCCTTCCTAGGCAATTTTTTTTTGTTTGCATTAAAATAAAATGATAGAAATGAGCGCTGTTTTATGCTTGTTAATGGAAGTGTTAACTCTCTTATAATGTCACCTGCCTGTCTTTCTGGAGGTTTTGAGTTGTATAGATATTATTTGGCAACATTATTTGGTGTCTATTTAAAGGACTTCGGGGGATGAAAAAAAGATTGAAAAACTTAATTATGTTCCTTTAAAACCATGATCAATCAGCTTTAAAGTTGTGCCTGAAACTTGCAGAAGTCTTCAGCATTTGGCTTGTGTTAGTAAAGAGGGGTAGTGAAGGTGTGTGAGAGAGTGGTGCTGTGGTCTATTGTACAACCTGCTTAACCAAGGCACGGGGATATGAGCTGAGGTCAGTGAGCCAAAGGTTTTGGGACCGGAAATAAACCCACTTGGCTCTGCAGGGAAACCTGTTTCTGTCTATTAGTATTGTAGTAGCATCCAGAAATGGGTTAGGTATTGCTTAGACACCCAGGAAGACTCAGCTTCTGAGCTAAGCTGCGCCCTCTTGCCTTTGAAATCTTCCAGTATCTGGGACAGGGAAGAGGGGCAGCCAACCATTAGAAGCTCCTGCCAAGCAGACATGGAGGGTCTTCTGACCCAGAGCTGCAAGCATGGCACCAGTTCCTTTCTCTCCTGTGTCTTACCCTATCACCTCCTCCTTGCTTTCCTTTATTCTTTTCTATTGTGCTGGAAACTTTCAGCCTGAAAGAAGGAACTACATAACTCAGGGTGAGGAGTCAAGTAATGTTTTTTCTTTGATTGCAGTAGAATAATCTAGCACCTAAATATGAATCTGACCATCAAATGTAGTAAGGGGCTAAACCTAGAGTGTGCTCAGGAAGTCCAGTTCTTCCCGCCCTGACACAGTCATGCTGTGTTCTGGCAATACGTGTTTAGAATTGAAGCAAGAGAAGACTTAGCAAATGTTGAGAGTGGCCAGTTTATAGAAATCCAGGCCAGCACCTCATCTGCGAGTTGTATTATTCACGTGTCCCAATCTGATGAGACGGTTGGGAAATTGAGGGGATTGTGACAGAGGTAGCATATCTTTGGGAACTCAGCATGGATGGTTTGGTTCTTTCTTACCAAAAGCAAGGGAGCATTGAGGGTCTTATTCTCTGTTGTGGGTGGGTTGATGCCCTCATGTGGATCTTTGGCCCAGGTGCCAATCCCTCCAGAACAGGACTGAGTGGAAGTTCCTGTAGCACAGGCTTGGGGACGAGCCCCACTGCAGTGCTGCAAATTTCTGCTTCAGGACTGGGTAGACGACTGTGCTCCAAGGTGAGGGCTCTGGTGCCTCAGGGTCATGGTTCTTGTTCTTCCAGTAGGCTGCGGGGAGATGTGTTTTCTGGCTCTGCTCCTGCTGGCAAAGCAGTGCCCCCATGTTGCTGTGGCTGGTGCAATCCCCTCACGGGCTCCAGTGTGAAGACAGCTACAGGTTCTGCTTGAGGAATGCTGGCCGAGGCATGGAGTGGGGCATCGCTGCCCCACCAGCATAGACTGACTGTCAGTGGGAGACACCAGCCTCAGTGTTTGATCCCCTTACCCTGCACCCAGGCTCTGCACTGCCTGGCCTGGCTGCTGGGTCATCTGCCCTGTGTGCATCATGCCATGACCAACAGCTGTCTTTGGCACAGGCCCCTGGATGCTGTAATGTGTTCATGGACTTTTTTTTTTTAACAGCGAGCAGACCTTGAGGCAGCATTTGGGATGAGCAGGTCGCTGGATGACTGAGGTTTGTAGGGCTCATGAAAGAAGCCTTTGTTGTTTGAGGAGGGAATTTAGAAAATAAAGTATTCCCACTTCCCTGCCCCCCCCCCCCCCC